TACAACAGCACTACGCACCCCACCGAATGGCACTTCCTCAACCGCCTCGTGAAGAGCAAAAAGGGGAGCCTGGAGGAAATCCACAAAGCCTGGGAAGATGGACAGTGCTTGCTTACTTGAGTGTGTCTGTGTGTCTCTGCTTGAATCTTGGGCTGCTTTGTGTTTTGTGATTGAAGCATGAACATGCATGACATCATGAAAGTTTGCAGGAGGGATAAAGCGTGCCCGACTCCTACGAGACTTTGTGGTAAAGGTTTACAGTCCGCAGGACGACCACTCTGTCAACAAGGGCCGTTTGGAGGCGCTCATCCGCCTAAGGCAGTCCACGAAAGAGTGGAAGAAAAACACCCAGGGTTTTGAGTGGTGCACGGTGGCAGACATGGAGGCCAAAGGGTGGCCGAAGAGCCTCGGGCTGTATTATAAATTAAAGCGTGAGTTGATGGGAACCTTAGCTCGTTTATGTCAAAATACGTTTGTACCCAAGGGAGAAAATCGAGGGAGCCAAGAAGTATTGCAGTGCGAAGAAGTTGTACAAGACCTGCCCCTACACTGGCGAATACAAATACCTCGTTCTCGTTTCCGATACGGTGCAGCAAGGCCAGGAAAAGTTGAGGGAACTTGAAGAGCTGATGGAGGAGGCAGGGTTCTTCAACGACAAGTTCCAACTGGGCTGCGGCGACTCCTTCGAAATCAGTGATGATGAAACGGTTCCGGATTCGAAGGCTGCTGCTGAGGGAAAGAATGGAAAAAAAGGGGGAAGAAACCCCAAGGGTGCAGGCTTGCCGATGATTGTGGAAGGAGAACAGGATCTATCGGGTTCGGTGGCAAAGTATAAAAAAGCAATGCTCAACAAACGAACAGTGCTCAAAGAGGTCAAGGACCGCCTCGTAGAGGAAAAGTGCTCAACACACCAGCCTCTTGTCACACAGCACATCAACATTGTCTTGTTCAGGTTTGTATGCCTGCTGATTTGATTGCTTTTATTGCATGTTGTGGTGCCTCAAACCGAGGGATGACTTGACGGCTTGTGAAAAGACATTGGGTGCAATTGGCTGCAACTTTAAAAAAGCTTGTTCATGTCATGCTTGTGCTTCACATGTATATGTGTTTCGAGACAGCATGTTCGTGCTTAAGACGTGGTCGTGAAAATCATATTTTCGCTCTCAGGTGAGCTGAATGTCCTCTACAAGAAGCTGTGCGACATGGAGCTTGCGGCGATGCTACTTGCAACAAAATTAGTTTGTTGGTACGTTCGGATCACCTGAGGATTGAAATACATCATGTTGATTAAGGGAGCCACAGCTCTTTACCGACATCACGAAACAGATCCGTGATACGCTATGGGCTCAGTTTCCTCACTTTAGTGCTGGGCTGTACCAACCAAGTTACATCAGTGTGTGCTTGCATGCAACAAGCTAAGGATTACCACTTTTGGCAACAATGTTGCCTCCCTCAAGACACTGGCCAGCATCAAGCATTCATGCATGGCATCTATGCTCATATGACCGTTACACTTGATTGAGACCATGTTTGCAGCCAAGGAGCCACTTCGCTCCAAAGCCCAAAAGGGCAGCGAAGCCTGCAGCCAAGGAGGAAGACGCATGAGCCGTAGCATGGCAGAATGGTGTTTATAAGCTATGATGCACTCGAGCTAGCACTGCTGGAACAACATGTACAACAAGCTTGTTGCTGATGCCATGTGACGATGCCATGTTTTGCTCAACCTTTTCACCTCTGTGTTAGCCTGTCGAAATGGACTGGGTATGTATTGGGTTCCCAGATAGCTCTATGCATTATTAAAATAAATGGGGTAATGAGTCCATGCAGGCAGCTTGGACACAGTTGGAATGCGTGCATGCAGTTGCTCCACGGCAAACAAATGCTTTAAAGTAGTGATGGGCCAATAGCCAAAGTACGAGATATTGTTCGATATTAGAGAACACTCATAGAGTGGCTTGGAGCATCTTTGCAAGCACGGTCTAGGACCTATAGGGGGGACTGCGGCCAGATCCCATGCGGCTGCTTGTCAAAACGAAAGCATTGCCCCTGCAGTCGGTCACGTGCTTGACTATCTATAATCTGTGCTCTTACCCTCCTGGCCTCGCGCAGGTGAAGATGCTGTGGCAAATGTGCTCATGACCTACGTGGCCCCGTGGCATGACATGTTTGCATGGCAATAAGGTCACAACATCAAGCAGCACAACAACAATAGCAAGCCCAGCGTCAAACAATGACGACGACAGCAACAACAACGACCGCCCCTACCCCTGCCACCTCTGTCAGCAGCAGCAGCAGCA